AAATAATAGTGTTAAATTTTACCGGTAAACACTTACCGAGTTAAGTATTTGATAAACAGTCCCTAAGTTTTTTGACAATTCTTTGATTGCTTAAATCTATTTGACCAAAAACCTTATCATTATGATTGCAAAAGGAAACTTCCAATTTCCAAACGATTCCTCACACAACTCTTTCTTTGACTACATTGCAGCCTATGCAGCCATGGCCACCCTTCCGTCAATATTATTTTATTAAATTATATATGTTTTTTATCTATATTTTTTGGTTTACTATATAAAATATATATATTTTAACCAGTAGTGTTCAGATCAGCTTACGTACACCTCAGCAAAAGATATATTGATTTTCAACATTTTTAAGATTTTTTTTCTGAAGTTTTTAGTAATTGTGAAAATTAGTTACAAAAATCTACTTAATATGACATTTTTCCTGAATTTCTTTATTTTTTAGATAAGTATTAGGAGTTTTCAAATTACTTTTAAAATTTAAAATAGAAAATGGAAAAAGAAAAGGGAGAAAAAAACAGTCCAGCCACTGGGGCCCCACGATCTGGCTTCTTCTATGGCACCCTGTAGCCTGTTGAACAGTTGAAGGATCACGACGTCGTACTGGAACTAAATTTCTTGGTCAAATAAGTATCTTAAATTTAAATATTATTTTTAGTTTTTCCTGATTAATAGAAAATGTATTAAAAAAAAAGATTTATTGGCGGGGACCTCATGGCCCCGTGGTCCACATTTTGTGAACCCTACTTGTCATACCTCATAAGCAAATACCGAAAAAGACAACCTGTCCTCCTTTGGAATCGAACCTGGGTGGGCACGCCCAAAACAAAGCATTTACGAAAAGAGGTAGCCACTAGGCCAAGACCTAGTTACAAACATGTTACAGTTTTCAATATAGACACGTTTTTAAGGACATTGGGCACACGTCTATGCTAGGAATTTGGATTATGTATTAAAAAAACATATATATATATATATATATATATATAGGGGCCTATTCAAGGGAGAACTGAGTTGTTTGTGGTAACTGTGAGAACCAATATTAACCACAAATCAATAGATAAATTAGGAAATTTATAAATTTGGTAATTTTAAATTAAAATC